CGGGGTTTCACCATGTTGACCAGGATGGTCTCGATCTCTTGACCTCGTGATCCACCCGCCTCGGCCTCCCAAAGTGCTGGGATTATAGGCGTGAGCCACCACGCCCGGCCTTTTAATTTCATTTTTTATGCTTTCTTAAAAGGCACATATAAAAGCAAAGCAGCTTGTTTTTAATAAAACGTATTTCTTCATGTATCACTGCATCCCGGCAGGCCAGGGTTCTCATTTTTGCAAGTCAAGACTATAGAATCTGCAGTATCATTCACAGATTTGATCTCTAAATGTACTGCTCCTACTTGTGGGTCCTATGCAGAAAGAAATGATGCACTAAATATCATTACCTGCTTTCATGTTTGTCATGGTGTTTCTCACTGTCCTCAGCTATTAGGACGGATATAGTTAGGTATTCTTGCAATTAAGAACTCAAGTTTATTTAGGGATACTTGTGAACAGTTTTTTCAACCCTAATTTTTACTTTTTTGACTTGGTTTAGGCATTTCTCTCTTGTTTATACCAAAACTGGACTGAGAAAGGTGGCAAAATACCGGTATATCTACTTTTACGTAGATGGTTGCCAGGGTCTTGGGGGAGTGGGGAGTGGGGAGTTATTTAATGGGGACAGTTTCAGTTTTACAAGATAAAGGTTATGGAGATGGATGATGGTGCTGGGTGCACAGCATGAATGTGTTCAATACCATTAAACTGTTCACTTAAAAATAGGTAACATGCTGTATTTTATGTTGTGTATATTTTACCGTAATACAAAAAAAAAAAAAAAGTTTTAAAAAATCAGTATATTTAGCAGCATGGGAGAAGTACTTCTGGGAGAAGTAGATGATTGAGTTAGAACAGTGGTTCTCAGAGATGATGTGATCAAATCAACGGGGGAAATTGTTCAAACTCATTTCAATTCCCAGGGACTGCCCTGGACCAGTTAAATCTGAATCTGTATAGATGGGGCCCAGGTACTGACTTTAAAAATCTTAAGCACTTGCATTTACTATGACTCATCAGGGAAAAAAAAATTAAGCAGTTTAGGGGATGTGAAAATCACTTGGGATATCTTTGCTTTAAATAACATCTTAAGATTAAAATAATTTTCCCTGGTGTTTAGGTGATGACTTCATTTTTTGCTTTTAATTCTTTAGGGGCTTGACTTACAGGGAATCTGGAGTAGACATTGTAGCTGGAAATATGCTGGTCAAGAAAATTCAGCCTTTAGCAAAAGCTACTTCCAGATCAGGTAAGTGATCCTACATTTTGCTAATTCATTAACTTTAACATACATTGTGAATGGATTTGGGTTTTGTATTTAACTGAGGAAATTTTTCCAAAGTAATGCTTGGTTACTGTAAGTTTTGCCCTGCTTAAGCCAAACCCAGTCTTCTGCTTTCTTGTCTTTAATATTAAGGAAAGCATTTCTCATCTATGATATTAATCTTGGCTCACTGCAACCTCTGCCTCCCGGTTCAAGCCATTCTCCTGACTCAGCCTCCCAAGGAGCTGGGATCACAGGTGCTTGCCACCACACCCGGCTAATTTTTGCAGTTTTAGTAGAGATGGGGTTTCACCATATTGGCCAGGCTAGTCTCAAACTCCTGACCACAGGTGATCCACCCACCTCACGCTCCCAAAGTGCTAGGATTACTGATGTGAGCCACCACACTTGGCCTTTTTTTTTTTTT